TACAAGTGAGCCAATCAGTTTGGGTTTGGTTTGTCCTGTCGGGGAACAAAAACTTGTCACTGAAGAYGGTCACTGGAAACTGAAGATGGAGGCCAACTGAATGTTGATTTGATTGTTGAACCAAATCCCAATGGCTGCTTTTCCATTGCAAATGTGCGCAAAACTTTGTCGATGTTCTGTTAATGTCAAAAAACACCGTTTCACAACTGCGGTGTTTCCATTAAGTAAGAAATGCTATTGAAGTCACGCGTGAATACGTTTGTTCTCGCGATACATCATATCAAACATGACGACAATGGATGTAAACACATAGCATGTTGCTACCACGACACTAGCGCTCATCATCAGAGGAGACGTCGGCGTCTTTTATCGAGGCTTTCCAGAGACAAGTCCCTACTTGGGAGCGRCTACGTATGCTGTGTTTTTGGGAAATTTTAGTCTGTGATTTTACTATTTTATACTACTTCTGTGATATTACTACTACTTMTACTTCCTGTTATCTTCTTCACCATCGACTTTTTCGCCAGTAGAAACAGCCGGTTGTTGATCACGTGACTCGAAAAGTGTTTCCATTGCAGTTTTGCGAAAAACACCAACTTCAATACGGCCGAAAAAACACCTCATCCTAGCATAAAAACATTTTGTCAAAAAAACGTAATTTCTTTCGAAATTGACGTGTTTCCATTGAGCAAATTTATTTTTGAAATTCTAATTTGCGCATTTTCATGGCCAATGGAAACACAGCTATTGTGGCAGGTCACATATTAGCTGGGCACTCAGTGAGAGGATCAAATCTGTTTAATTAAAGTGTGGTTGTGTTACTTCATTTGGCAGGAACAGAARGGGAAAAATAGCACTGACAGCAAAATGTTGCAGTTTTTTCACAAAAAGATGTTTAGCCGTTTTTACATAGGATTGGATAAAGAATTGGTGAATACAAGCCGAGTGGTCCGAGTGTTCAACGTTTGGAGAATCAGGCARGATTCCACTTCTCACCAGACTCACCATTTAAAAGATTAAAACTTCTCAAACCTCATAGCAGTTTAAGAAAATGTCATATCCTGAAGCTTTACAAAGCATCATTTCTGCAACTAAACGTTACGGATGTTGTAAATATAGTTGCCCTTCAAAAATAATTAAAGCATAAAATCACTAGGGATCAAGAATTATACTCGATTCTTTACACTTAAAGCATAAAATAGAAACTATTTATTTTAGCTGGTAGGACGGAAATAAGCTTTCACTTCAAGAAAAGCAAATTATTTCTTTTTCAGTTTTAGCAGATGTTTGGTTACTGTTTGAATGGTTACACCATTAACTATGATATAATTAAAAATAATTCAATGACAGATTTTAACAACATTATTTCTACTAACTAAAAGTGGATATATTCTTCATTACTTTTGATCAATTCTTTGGTAATGTAAGGTCTGTAAATAACTCTTCCTCCTTTACAGTCCAGCAGGAACAAGCATGACCAGCTGACACAAGTATTTGGAAACTACAACCWGGAAGAGGACATGTGATCTCAACTGCAGCTATTAAAATCACCCCTGTTGTTTAAATATTGGCTTTCTTCTCTTTTTAGTGAAGAAGTGAAGACAAGGTAGAACTTCAAATGTGAAACTAGTAGTTTTAAATAGAAACTAAGCAAATAAACAACCAAGAGCTCAAAATGTTCTCATTAGAGTTCGGAGAAACCCAGYGTTCCTTATTGATGAACGACGGACGTCACATAAAACACAAAACTGCCTACCTAACAGCTACGACAGAAACTTCAATAATTTCTTTATCACTGCTGAAAATATGCTAATCAAAAAGTTGTGTGCTGTAGAAAACAGGTTTCTTTGAGCCTTTGCCAAGCTGTTAGCACGTTTAACAGTTTAGATGGTTGAGAAACAGATTCGATAACATCCACATGTGATGAAGGTAATTAGCTTCATGCTTTGGACTTTATACTAATTAGACAAGTAGAGCTATCCTTACCACAAACAAATAAAATAAAAGTTGTCGCTTTTATAAAAATCTGACAAACATGACTCAGATCACTATTAACGGCTGTGGTGGAGTCGTTAGGGGAGTTGTCCTGTAACCGGTAGGTTGCTAGTTYGATCCCCTGTTCCAGCTGTCCCAGCTGTTGCGTCCTTGGGCAAGACACTTCACTTGCTTTGCCTACTGATGGTGGTCAGATTGTCCGGTGTGCCCCAGGGCTGCTGTGGCTACAATGTAGCTTACCACCATCAGTGTGTGATTGTCTGTCAGTGTTAAGTGCTTTGGGGTCCGAAGGGGCTTGATAAAGCGCTATTAGTTTAGACCGTTTACCATTTTTAATTCAATTCAATTCAGTTTATTTATATAGCGCCAAGTCACAACATACGTTGTCTCAGGGCACTGTACATGAAAAAAGAACAATGTAAAGAAGAAASCAGCAGATTGTGTTGAATCACTTCATCACAGTCTCCCATCCTGAGCAAACGGTGGAGAGGAAAAACTCCCTGCTAATCAGGAAGAAACCTCCAGCAGAACCAGGCTCAGGACAGGCGGTCATCTGCCTCGACCGGCTGGTTGGGGGACAGGAAAGAGACACAGGTAGACACAGAAGAACTGGTCCAGGTGCACCTACTTCTGGAAAAAAGACAAAAAGAAAAAACATGTTATTGATAAAAATATTTACAATAAACATGTAGAGAAGAGAGAGACAACAGCAGAGTGAGGAAATGTGCTCACCCACCTAAATTTATTTACCAGCAGACCACATTAAATTGTTTTCATTTTTGATATTCTTTTGCTATCTTTAGAAATCCGGTTGTCTAATTAAAATTGTTAAAAGTATAAAGGAAGTTTCTCCTAGTAAGATCTACTCAAAACTCTTCATTTTCCAGCCATTTGAAGAACATTTTACTAAATTCTTAGAAATAATAAAAGAATATAAAATCTGTATTTTATTAAGGCAGAACACTGAAAAAACAAACTTTAACCTGGACTTTATCTGAGATCTCAACTGAAACTTCCATTATGCTTACTTTGTTTTCTATTTACACACTGGGCGCCCCCTCGATRGACGGCGCCCTTAGCATTCGCCTACACTGCCTATGCCATGGACCTGCCTTGTGTCAGACAACCATTAAAGTTAGTTTAATAAAAGGGTCTGTCCACTCCACAAAGACAAACTTATCTTCTACTGCAAATTCAGGTTAGAAACCTTTAGCAAGAACACCAATAAAACCGTCACCAGTCCCTGATGCAGAATAGTTCTAAAAGATGTGAACATGAAAATCATTTTACATCACTACTGAAGGACGTATTGAGATAACTGCAGAGTGTATTCRCTAGAAGCTCATCCTAATGTTAACTGACCTTTATCTTGTTGGTTTCTTTTTCAAAAGGTGTGTAAAATTRAGGATCAGGGTTGTTACAGAGGAAYCAAGACATTGTGGTTCAAGTGAAACATCATCATGTTGATCTGCAACTTTGTTAAAACGGTCGATGACCGGTMTATTTGTACTCTGGAAGTTTTTAAAATGGGGATTTCACATGCTGAATTCAGTAATTTTTTTTTGCCCAAATTGCTTCTACAAYAAACTGCTGACCAAATGAGCTTGAGCCACAGTGCTTTATGCCCACCAGAAAACCTAATTTCAGCGGGGGTTGTCATGGTGTGTTTTTGTTAGTTTGTGGGAAAAAAAAACAAGAAGGGAATGAGTTGCATGAAAAAAAAAGAAGACAAAGGTTAGACGACCAGTGTCAGTTGCCCTGCGTGGACAACACACATGTAACCAGACTCTACAGCCACCGCCATGACCTCACCGGGTTTTTCCACAGACACACACACACACACACTGGCTAGTACACTGTCAACCGAGCCTGGCACAGCGAGAGCCAGCTCCCATTCAGGGACGTGCATTGTAATCCTACACAGTGCGATCACGCAGGCATGCTTTACAGAAAAGAAGGCTAATCTAAAGTAACGGGCAGGACACAAAGAAACAAGCAGGTGACTTGTTTCTTATGGGTGGAACGTTGGATCAAATTTAGGATCCGCTGATCTGAGGTTTAAAAAAAAGAAAGAAGAAAAAAAGAACTTCTTTCCCTTGTGAGTCAACACCTAACCGAGTGATGCCTCTGGAGTTTTTCCTGCAYTGAGCAGGAAGAATGGAGAAGTATTTGCCACGGGGACACAGCTGCTTGAGTCCTGACAGGAAAATGTGATGGTTATCATCTCAGTGTCGTATTCTGTTGTACAACTAGGCGTCCCTTAAGATAAAGAGTTATCTCGGGTTCACGCCCTGAATCTCAATAGTGACGAGCCTTGTAGGCTCCATTCATGGACCGACCACATTCCAAAACTAAAATGCGACCTTTTTCGTGGAAAACCTATTTAAACCATTTAAAATCGTCCTTCCTGTGCTTCATGTGTCAAAAGAAACTTTAACATCAGGAACTAAAAACAAACACCTAAATAATGGAAGTGAAACTTTAAAATGAGTGTGAGAGAATAACACCCTATTCACACAGGCACTAAATACAACAGSGATGTTTAAATAAAAAAAATTACTTAAAGCGTTAAATTTAACTTTTACACTTTGTTTTTAGAACCGTGACACATAAACAGCACTTGCCTGTGACGTGTAGAAGTCATTTTTAAACCCACGTTTTAAAACACACACATAGCCTGAGTACACAACATGTTTCCAAGTAGGCCAACACCTGTTCTGTGCTTCCCTGCAGAATCAAACAGCTTTATGTGCAGCACTGGAAAAACTGCTGTCACCCAAACTATGAAGTGCTCGCTTATATGTTGTAAAAAAAAACATAAAAGTGTGGTAAAGCAGACGAGATGTCCTGAGCGTTTGACTGTAGACCGGCAGTATTTTTTCCACAAGTGTTGTAAACGCAGAGGGCYGTGGCCTGCCTTTCAGTAACGTTTTTTCCATTCCACAACACWACTACTTGTTAGGTTGGAGTAGGTATTTTGCACGTTAAGAGGTTAAAAGTCCAACCTGTCACTGTCTGAAGTATGGGCTCGCTTCTACGGTGCTCCCAGCGGGGACGATTCCATCTGCGAAGACAAACAGAGAGAAAAAATAAATAAAAGAAATGAACTAACAGCAGAGCAGAAACACTGCAAAACCTAATTCGTTGTTGCATCATCAGAAGTCCCAAATGTCTGATGGCTTCTTAAAGGTTTAAACACCTGCTGCGTTTGGCACAACAAAGAAGTTGATCCTATGATGCAAGAAACTGTTTTAATATCAGATCTGTGCACGAACTCAACTTAGAAGTGCAAGAAAAGTGAGTGAATTTTACACCTGCGTGTTTGAAACCCTAAAACAGGGGCTTCTGGGRGCAGCAGCTGTCGCTATTAAAGAAATCTTGCCACAATTTTGTATTTTTTTTGAAAGTCAATAACACCTACGCTAAACTGTAATCTCCTAACGCACCAGAAATTAGATAAATTAAAGTTCTCACATGCAAAAAAAAATAAAAAATAATAAAAAGTTCCACCCACCCAACTGGACAGGGCATTTTACTGATTTCAGGACCACCTGATTAACAACTAACTGATGCTTTTCTATTGCGAAAGCTTAACTTTAGTCAGTCCTGATGCCTCTGGCRAACTGACAAGTCTAAAAAAGGAGAACATCTGTAACACATATAACAAATAACACATTCATTTTTGTCATGTGTACTCATTAGCACAACTTGAATCTCTTAAATCAGGCCTAAAAGTTTTTCCTGCATCAGTAAACTCTGCCTCTCTCATTCATCTTTGCTGCAAATAAATAAATAAATAAATAAATAAATAAATAAATAAATAAATTCTAGATCTGCCTGTGCTCCAAAATAATAAGTTCTTGCTGTAAAATGTATGTTTAATTATAATGTATTAGTTTTATCAGAGTTCATGTTATTAATGAAGCAAATAGCAGCAAAACTAAAAGTAATTTGTTGAAAACTGTTCACATTATTCTTAAGAGACAAGTACAAATGTTCATATTTCCACAGTGATTTTTGCCCCACGGCCAGTTTGCGTCACAGCGGCTGTTTTCCTGCTTCAGCTCACTTTTCTTTTCTTTTTTTAGCCGATGTCCCTTTAACTCTGCCTTAGAGAAGATGAGTACAAACAAACCTTTCTGGTAATTTTCCGCTTTGTGTCTTATTATGAATAAAAACGCTGCAAGACTAGAGAAGTGCTTTATAAATAAAGGGGGGTATTTCAGGTTAAAACGCGCGCATTTGCGTGATCCGTGCGCTGAGGCGACCAAAACAAAAACACCTGTGCAGCAGCAAATAAAGAAAAGAAAAGAAAAGAAAAGAAAAGAAAAGAAAAGAAAAGAAAAGAAAAGAAAAGAAAAGGAATAAACTCTGAAGACAGGTCGCAGACTTGCAGCTGTTCTCATCACCGGAGGTTTCCTACCAACCTTGTGCGCCTCGCAGAGAATCAGACAGACTGAGAAAAACTCCAAGTCCAAAATAAATAAATAAATAAATAAAAACACTCGAAGGTAATCCTCCTGGTATCGAGTCCGGTTCCGAGTCTTAAACGAGCCGGTTCGAGTTCAGCAGAAAAAAAATAAAACTAACAGAGAGGGTGACGGGAAATCAGCTGGATCATGCAAACTGAGCAGGAGACAGGAGGAACTGAGAAGTGACTTGACTGAAGGCGAGTTGCAGAGAAGAAGGTCCGGCCCCTCGGAGCGCGCGGCTCCCCTCCCTCCCTCCCTCCTCCCCTCCCCTCCCCTCCGCGCTCTCCCGCTGACAGAAATAGCAGGCGAGGCGGGCCCCCACCAAAAATAGCCTCGACTTCACACGGACTTTCAAGACTATTGTTCGCCTCGGCCTGCCTGCACCGCCTGACTCCCAGCAGATGTGGCTGCGCGCTCCAAGTTTCACTCCTCCAACTTGCTACGTTTTTTTTTCTCCACAGAATGGGGACATTGTGACAAAAAAAAAAAAAAAAAAAAAAAAAAAAAAACAGAGGGCCCCCAACGCAGTGGCTCCATCTGCTGACAAAAACTCCAAAAACCCAGCTCCTTGTGAGAGGTTGTGAGGTTTTAATACAAGGTGGAAGTATGTATGATTGATTTAGCCACGCCCCTTTGACATGAGTTTGTGCAGCAGAAGATTTTCATACATTAAGGATGTCCRTCCACAAACTGAAACCCATACTGCTCTGTAAACTAAGCACAAAAAGTAAGGAAATTAGTGTTTGGTAGATTATTTCTTTGCTTCCAATAAATCTTATACCGTTTGAAAGCATGTTCCCTTTTAAATGGTGTCACATTTGTAAGGAGCATGCATTTGTGGGATGAGCAGTAGAGCTGAGTATGGGGTTTGCGCATATGAAAAATTTGACAAATCGTCTCGGTTTATTTTGCTGTTGCTACTAAGATTTATTTTTGAGTTTCTAGTACACCAGGTGCTGCCAGTCCAACACTCCCGACTCGTCACCATATTGACGCTTGGTCAGGTACTGTCTGCGTTCAGTTTAGTCACATCAGGTAGCCCCCTAGCGTCAGTTATTCATGCCAGTGGCTTTTTTGGGTTGCACCACATAGGGGTCTTTGGTTAATATGAGGAATCAGTCTCAATGGTTAATTTTAGGTACTGAGGTCAGGGATAGGATGTCTAGGACTAATAGAAGTTCAATTTAGGGTCTGGGACGGCCGTACATTTCCTACTCTCTTCAAAAATATGACAACGCACTCTTCCTCCTTGGTCTCATCTCGTTAATAACTGATGCGAACGCGTCCAAAACTGGAGGCAGATGGTACCTGACCAAGCGTCAACATGTGACGAGTTGGGAGTGAGAATGGGTTGGCCAGTCAGGTGTTTGTATAAGATTTATTGCCAAAAAGCATTGTTACAACAAAGAAATAATCTACCAAACACAAGTTTCTTAACTTTTTGTTGCCAAGTATATATACATTTTATATACATACTCAAAAATATGACTTGCTGGGACAACTCCTGAAAAGGGAACAGCCGATAGAAGAAGAAGAAGGTCTCAAAAACTATTGGGGTAATGTGATAACTTTATTGCATACAGCTGTTGGTTCATAAGTTGGGTTAGTTTGATCAAACATTGGTCGACTCAGTGATTGGAGTTCGTTCTTTACTATCTTCTTCTTCTTTCTCATCCTCCAGTGTTTCTCATCTTCCTGGCCAATTCATTCTCACTCCCGACTCGTCACCATGTTGATGCTTGGTCAGGTACCATCTGCATGCAGTTTTGGGTACCCACCTCGCATCAGTTATTAACAAGATGAGACTGAGTAGGATGAGCGAGTTGTCATATTTTTGAAAAGAGTAGGAAATGCATGACGACTAACCATCCCAGGCTCTAAATTGAACTTCTATTAAGCCTAGACAGCCTATCCCTGACCTCAGTACCTAAAATTAACTATTAATCCTGATCCCTCACATTAACCACAGACCCCCAACCCAAAGACCCCTATGTGGCGCAACTTGGAAAGCCACGGGCGTTAATAACTGACACAAGGGGGTTACCTGACGCAACAAAACTGGACGCAGATGGTACCTGACCAAGCGTCAATATGGTGACGAGTCAGGAGTGAGGACGTGTTGGACTGGCAGCTGCATCTCCAACACCCTTCTCCCAGCAAACTCTCTGTCCCTCCTCTGGACGTGTCCAAACCGTCTCGGTCTGCTCTCTCTAACTTTATCTCCCAGTCGTTCAACCTGAGCTCTACCTCTGATGAGTTGGTTCCTAATCTTATCCGACTTTCTCACACCCAAGGAGAACCTCAACACCTTCAGTTCTGACACTTCCAGTTCTGTCTCCGGTCTTTTTACTTTTGGTCTCATWTACAAAAAACATTACTTGGTGTGGCAACATCTGAAATGGGAACAGCTAACAAAGGAAGAAGAAGGTCTCGTACACTAAAAGCTATCGGGGTATTGTAATAAATTAATTACTGGGTTAAAGATGTTGGTTTAACCCAACAGATTTTAACGTTTGATCTTTGCTGCCACTCTTTTGTCACAAATCACGCTTGAAACTTTTCTCCATCCAGCCTCTTTACGCTCCCTGTTTTCCTGGTCAGTCGACTCGAAGTACTTAAAATCCTGCATCTTTACTCTGCTCCTTGTAGCTTCATTRTTCCACCTGCCTTTCTGCCATTCACACACACACGTCTATTTTTTGCAACACACCATTTTAAGCTACATTTTAAACTACAGTCACTGAGGAAATCTGTGGTGAACGCRCACACACTGTGGTCTGTGAAAACACAGTCTACGGGGTGCGCACTGCAGCTGATGTCAAAGTTTCCTGTTCAAATCAGACCYATGAAGGTCTGCAAATATTTTCTCAGGAAACCAAAATCTATCTAACCTGGTTTAGTTTCCTTTTTTAAATTTTGATTTACTGACAGTGATGCTCGTAGGTTTTATTTATTTATTTATTTGTTTTCCCTCAAATAAGGCAGAATTATGTGAAAGCACCTTAAAAGGAAATAATTCAGGGCTGTTACAAAACTTCATTTAACTGTAAAGGTTCCCGATGACCAGCGGTTTCATGAAAACTTTGACCTGAAATGTTAAAAATGAAATTCCAGATTCGCGCCTTTCAATGCAAAACTAGCAGCTGAAGATCAAAAGCAAAACAATTTTTATCAAATATAATTTACACCGGGGGTGAGATACTTAAAAGGTGAATCTGAAAGAATGCTGTATTTTTGGCTCGCAAGAAAAAAATGGGGAGGAAAGAAAAAAACGACGGCTGATGGAATCTATATCAGGAAATATTTGAAATAGTTCCTGCCAGCCTGGCAACAATGTGAAATATCATTGAACTGATTAAACTGATGTGCAGACAGTTTTCTTGGAAAGGCTCAGTGAATTCACAGAACTGCCCAAACCATGTACGGTTGTTTAATCTTCGGGATTAAAACTGCTCCTAATTTGTTCATGTGGAGGATTAGAATCAAAGCTAATACGGGTCTGTTATGAAACAAAAGGCAACACGGCTGCTGGGCACAGCAGGACAAAAAGAGAATATAAGAGGGGCTGCGTATAAATATATACTGGACCACCTCTATGATGTTACTTCTGTTTGTAACAGATTTTCTCTTGGATTCAATAAGGATTGTTTTTTTTTTGTTTCAGTCACATTAAAGTTTGTCCTCTTTGCCTTCTGACTACAATGTTTCCTAAATGAGTGGGATTACGCTCAATTGTACAGAATTTAAACAGCCGAACCCACAAATGGAAACATTATAAAAACATTCCTCCAACAGATATCAGTTTATACATAAGGCTGCAGCATTAACTCCACTTTTTCTTTTGTTTTGTTTTGTTTTCCCTACATCTGAAATTACAAAATACCCTTCATAAACCATTGGACATGTCTTCTACAAGCATTGTTTTCCTGTTCTATTCTGACCAAAACCACACAGTCAGCGTTGGAAACGCAGATTATGGCCATTCATGGTTTGGAGAGGATTTAAGAGCCATTTTTCCAAGAGCTATTRTGTCTTTTTGTGACCGTGGTATACAGGAAACACAATCTTTGAAAATTGAAGGCAGATTTCTTCTTAAATTTATTGAAACATCCGATTTTATATATATATAAATTAAAAGAATGGCAGAGTTGTCTTTGTTTTTCTAAGAGAAGCTGAACATAATTTGATTTAAAACTGTTTCCAGTTCTGGTAAAATATTAAAAACATGTTTGAGTTTTATAGTTTTTTTTATCAGTTCATTTATTTTTTTAATACACGTACCATTTATAGTTGAAACTTGCTGTTGCTGATCGCCCTACAATAAATTTCACGAGGAAATTGCAGTATCTCCCATATGAAAACAATCTCTCTCTC